GTGGACTTCAACTCCCAGAATTCCCCCATGCTGGCTGGGGAATTCTGGGAGTTGAAGTCCATATATTTTAAAGTTGCCAAGTTTGAGAAACACTGGGTTAGATGTTTTCTTCTTTCACGTTTGCCCTCTCATAAAATGGCTTTTTTGAATTACTCAACAATCATTGCCTACATTTGTGTAGAACATACAACTTGGGACTCAGAGCTGTGTCTATCTGTTACAGGAGATGAGATGAGTCTATCAGCTGTCTTCTGCCTTTTTAAAGACCTAACCGGAGATTACTAGAAATGAAAAATTCATATTTCATTTAATTTCTGTAATCTAGCCGTTTTGCAAAATTCAATTTTGGTTAGTGTGGTTACATTAATTTTTAAAGTTGAAATAAGTCAGCAATGGAAAACATTTGAGGGGCTGGTGGTTAGAACTCAGCCTCCTGAATTTTGGAAGGCAAAAGGAAGCTTTCAAGTGGCAGAATTTTGGCCCCCAATTTTCAGTGGTTTTTTTTTTAGAGTTTTAAAGTTTGGAATGGAAGTGGGAAGTCGCTCAGATATTTCCATCCCCGCCTTTAATTTTTGAAAAGCAAAAAATGGTGCTCTGATTTGCACTGGGAGTTGAAGTTCACACATCTTAAAGTTGCCAAGTTTGAGAAACACTGATTTAGATGGTGCAATTTTTTATTAAAAAATTCTTCTCAAACCTGGTCATGTAAATATTACCCTGAAACAAGGAAAATTGGAGGAGAGAGAGGTTTCCAAGATTATGCCACTTTTCTTACATTTGTATCCCAGGATGGATTTTTTTATTCCTGTTAGCTCCATCACTGCCAGTTTGTGTGCGATTGATATTGTCCATCCAAAGCTGTACATTCTGAAAGTATGGAAAGCAGAGGGCCATGTTGACCTTTGATGGCTATCTCCAGCCGCATGAGAAAGCAGTTCCCAGTAACTCCATGCAGAGGTCAAGTCATTTTGACACTGGGAAGGAGTGGAGATGCTGGCTGTTGGTGGAATGTCCTCAAGAGTCCAAAACAATGTTTCTCAACCTTAGCAACTTTAAGATATAAGGACTTCAACTCCCAGAATTCCCCAACCAGCAAGGTTGGCTAGGGAATTCTGGGAGTTGAAGTCCACATGTCTTAAAGTTGCCAAGGTTGAGAAACACTGGTCCAAAAGGAGAACCAGATTTTAAGCAACAGTAGTATGAACATTTTCTTGACCAGTTTTCTTCTGATACCATTGCTTTTTGATTATCTGTTCACACAGAGAATGCTCTTGCACCCTGCTTAGACTCTTAACTCCTTGCTGTTAGAATCATATGTAAGAGATGTGCTGAGGTATGGCGCACAATTTTTCAACATTATCTTACCATACTTCATGTGTTGGAGGTTAATATCTGTCATACTAAAACTGTTGTACTCACATGGGCTCCCACCATAATTTAGAAACCTAGTTGTAAATCATGCTAGGAGCAACTTAGGGCAACAGGCTTCCTGCTGCAAAAGTTCACCCTCCACTATATGGAGGGTAAGGCTGGGCGTTGTGCAAGAGAGCTACATAGCATATCCAAGTGCGCAATTTTAATCTTGTGAATGAACTTTAGGCGTATGATATTGTTGTATCTGAGCAAAACTCAGATTTGTACCCAGATAAACTCTGAAAACAGGAGCCACAGCCCTTGCTGAATCCTTGCTTTGCCTTATGTGCTGGTCCCAGATTTGGTTCTTGATAGCTTCTGGTTCAGCTGGGAAATGTCTCCAGAGAGTTATTGCCAGTCAAGGTAAACAGTCCTGGTCTAGATAGATCAAAGGTTTGATTTTTATGTGGGTCACATTCACTGAATGCTCCATTGAACAAGCCACAATTCCCTGTCTGCCATTTTGGCATAGAGATGTGTTGTTTTATAGGGGTAGCTATAACCTATTTAACTTGTCTAACCAATCTCCCATGAATGGTTCACCCCATCCAGCCAAGGATTGTTTGTGCAGTAGACTTTAGCCAAGAGCCCTTGGGAGATACTCCTGAGTGTAGTGTGGTGTGTGGAGAAGAGATGTGGCACCTTCATCTTCTCCACCTATTTGCCCTTCATACTGACCCAATGAGGCTGCCTTTCTCATTTTCTGTAAGTGTGTGAATGCCCCTGTGCCCAGTACCAGATTGTTTCCTTTCCCTTCGTTACTCTTCCCAGAAATCAGTTTTCTGGATAATAGAGTCACTGTTTGTCTTTTCAGCTGCTGCTTAGTCAGACCTTCCACACTAGATTTGTTGTGAAATTAAGCAGCCCGTGAAGCTTGATTTGGTTTCCTTTCGCTTTTCCTGAAAGGAAACTCTTACTGTCCTCTCACACTGGGGTTGGAAGAGTCACTGGGGAAATCTCTGTTTCTTCAGTTGAAGCAAAGCATGTGGGAGAGCTGCCAGGGAGCTTTGCTCAAGCCAAAAGCTGGAGGTACCACCTCTTCCTGGGTTTCAACCTTGTGGAGATCGGGGCAGACGTTTACAGGAATGTTCCCTTTCTTCTAGACCTACTTCTAGTTAGCTTGACATTTTGCTGGTGGCCCTGAATCTGGTGCATTGTGTTCCCTGTTCTCGTAGATAACCTGGAGTCCAGGCATGGATGTTTTTGTTCCTGCCAATGGAATCCATGACCCATAGATTCCTCAGGCTTGTGGGTGACAGGCAATATCTGCTCAATTTGGGAGCCTCTTGAGGTTGCTTTCCTTAAAAGAAAATACAGCAATTTGTCTCCTGCGTTTGTATGTAACACAGAGTTTAAGATCCTGAATTCTATGAAAGGCAGGGTTACTGTTAGAACAGCTGCAGAAAGATAGTGTGGAACATCAGGTGGTCTTTATGATAAGGGAAGTGTTCAGAAATATTTACTAGTGTATTGGTATAGCTGCTGTTACTGTTACTGTTATTCATCACTTACACAGCCATTCATCTAAAAAAAATGCTCAAAGGGTTGGAGTAAAATGAGTAATAAGACCAGGTGGAGACAGTATTCTCAGGAATGACCCCTTGTTTTCATATAATGCTGCTTGTTGGTCAAAACATTTGGAGCGGTGGGTAGGGTAGGCCTGGTTTCAACCCCCTAAGAGTCCCTTCAGGTGTGTTGGAACTGCAGCTCCCAGAACTCTTCCCCAACATGGTTGGAAGCTGGAGAATTCTGGGAGTTGCAGTCCTAGCATGTCAGAAAGACATCCAGATGAGGGAAGCTGCTCTGACATGTCACTAGATCAAGCACTCTGGGGCATTGTTGGAAATAAGAGACCAAGAGTTCTCAATTTCCTTTGGAAGTGTCGCTACTGCTACATGCTGCCACACTTAACCCTTGGTCATTGGCTCCATAGCCTCCTACAGGTCCTTATGCCCTTCCCGCTCTCCTTGGCAATCCATTGGCAGACTGGCAGGGAATGTTACCATGCTGGGGAAGGAGTTTCCCTGTGCCTGCCAAACATCCTGCCAAACAGCTGATCAGTGAGATTGCAAGGAGCACCATCTCTTCCTTAGTGCAACTGTGCACTCGTGGAACAACAGTGCAGAGCAGCAGTGCTGGGAAGTCATGGTCCCAAGCATCTTACCTCATGGACAGCTAAGGAGGGTTATTTCCAATGGGCAGGATCACTGCAAGGATGAGGGACCATCTTCTTTTCTTTGAGCAAACTTGGTACAAAAAAATCATTGTCTGCCCAGTGACCCTACTCATGATTTGATAGGAGGGGGATAGGTGGGACCTAATGGATTTCTTCTGCATGCAAAACAAACAGTATTACTGAACTGGCTCATCCCCCCCAAACAATAAAGTCTCTGTGTTTTGAACCCAGTTGTCTGACCATGTATGGTGACAAGACAAAAAGTAGAGTCTCAGATGCCTGATCCTAAAACCAGGCAGGTTTGTATGGGACCTGGCAACCCAACACATGTCCTTTTGTTGGCTTGATAGAAGAAGATAAATATTTCCAAGCACAGCTTATACCTGACCAGTATTTCTTTTTCTTAATTTTCCATCTTCAGGATGAATTCCATCCTTTCATTGAGGCTCTCCTCCCACATGTCCGGGCCTTCGCCTACACCTGGTTCAACCTCCAGGCCCGGAAGCGCAAGTACTTCAAGAAGCATGAGAAGCGGATGACAAAAGATGAGGAGCGGGCTGTGAAAGATGAGCTCCTCAATGAGAAGCCGGAAGTGAAACAGAAGTGGGCTTCGCGCTTGCTGGCCAAGCTGCGCAAGGACATCCGGCCCGAATACCGGGAGGACTTTGTGCTTTCCATCACGGGGAAGAAGCCCTCATGCTGCGTCCTCTCCAACCCTGATCAGAAGGGCAAAATGCGCCGAATCGACTGTCTCCGCCAGGCTGATAAAGTCTGGCGTCTCGACCTCGTCATGGTGATCCTTTTCAAAGGAATCCCCCTGGAGAGCACCGACGGGGAACGCCTTGTCAAGGCCGCACAGTGCACCAACTCTGTTCTCTGTGTCCAGCCACACCACATCAGTGTCTCGGTCAAAGAGCTTGATCTCTACCTGGCATATTTTGTTCGTGAGAGAGGTAGGCTTCCAACCTGTTTGTAACCTAGGATTGTGCACCTTCAGGGAGAGTTCTTATCAATAGTTCTTAGCTATGATACCGAAGGGAACTTCCTGATTCAGAGGACAGTGCCCCTATGAATACATGAGGGCAGCTCTGTAATGTTGTATGAGGCCCAGAAGAATGTGGTTGACCTTGTGTGAAGCAGGAAGTTTGGCTTCATGAATCTTGAGCCAGGTCTAGCCTAGTTATCCTCCTGTTACTATTAGCCATTAAAGTTAATAATGGGGCCTCTATGTTCAGAGGTAGTCTGTTGCTGAATAAGAAATTAATAAGAAGCAATATCTAGAGAAGATGTTGCTTTCGTGCCCCCCTTCAGGGGTCTCCAGATGGTACCACATTGACCAATGTGAGAAGCAGCAGATGGGTTCAGTAGTCTGAACCAGCAGGATTCTTTTAATGGAATACAATGGTAATTAAGCCATGATTGTTACATAAAGAACTGTCATGTTTAGTGGTAGTTATGTCTCTTGCTCTCAGGTCCGGAGTGTAAAATACAGACAAGGCCCTTTGCTTTCTATTCTGTTGGGCTTCTAAAGGCACCTCAATAGAAGACTTTTCTTAGATGGTCTGGGTGAATACCCTTTTCTATAGCATCATACTTGGGGCATATGGTAGTTTCTTGGATATTTCAGGTAAAGCTATATACAACATGGAACTTCAGTGCAATGGTGCGTATGCGCTATGGTGTATTTTGGATACACACAGAAATTAAACATGCCTGGTTGGTTTCATAAGTGAATGGTCCCACAGAATCCTTTGTGCTGAGAGTAGTTCTGTGGCAGTGGATAATTAATTGTGGGATTGGGTCCCTGAAGGTAAGAATATTTGAAAGCTACTGGATTTATGTCAGGGATCAAATCCCTTTCGGTTGCCCGTATGCAAACTGGCTTCATGGGAGTCATCAAGGCCATGACTGAATTAAAATCAAGGTTTCTTGAAAAAAAAAATCTAAATAGCTCAGATCTAAGGTTTTATAAGGTGCCCTGAGGTCATTAAACTGTTCTAAAGAAGGACAGGCATTTACTTTAGAACTGGCAAATCAGTATAGAATAAAGGGGATGGGGTCCCATTTCAGTATAGTGCCTACAGAAATTAAGACTTTGTGTTTGCTTTCCTCAAGAACTTTTCTGCCTCACATATTGACAGAAGAACATAAAGGCTGGATTAGTGCAACATGCTAGACTAGACATTGTCTTAGCCTGTTGCGTGAACCAAGCCAACATTTTGAGCCTTAATGACATTCCTTTCTTGGACACCTCCAGCCACATCTGCGGGCGATGGAGGTAGCACTGGTGGTCGGAAATAGCAAGGTGGTGAATGGAACATCATGGTGTAAGCCCCACCCCTTCTGTCCATGCATCATTCAAAAGGGGCGGGGCTTGTGTTGCGATGCTCCTTCTGCCATCCTGCTGATTTTAACCCTCCCGATACCACTGGACATAACACTTTATGTGAAGAAAATCCATTTGACTTTGTAACAAAGCTCAAGTTGCGTTCTGACAAATTCCAGGCAGCTTGAAGAGATTCTAAACTTTTCTGAAAGTTTAGAATTTCAGCAAGACTGGGCTAGATGACTAGAGGCCTAGTTTGATCCCTGTGTGTCCACTTAAGTTGCCCGTTTGTGGGGTTCTTAATGCTCCCTGAACTTGGTTGTTTGCTTGCAGACGTTTCATTACCCAACTAGGTAACATCATCAGTGTGCGGGAGTGTGGGGTTTGCTCCCTGTTTATATACAGTAGCTTGCCCTGCCAGGGTTGGTGGGGGTAGGGTTTTCTCCTTGGTGATTTCTTGATAAGAGTATTGTTTTCGGCCTGATTGCCCCTTTCTTCAGACTGATGAGGACTAGAATCTTATTGTACCTCTTCCTAATAGCAGGGCATTTGCTTTGTGTGTAGAAGGCCACAATCTGTGACACTCTTACGGAGGCCTGGGAAAGACTCCAGCCTGAATGGCTTACAGCAGTGTATCTCAACCTTGGCAACTTTCGGTTGTGTGGACTTCAACTCCCAGAATTCCCCAGCCAGCTTGGGAGTTGAAGTCCACACAACTGAAAGTTGCCAAGGCTGAGAAACACTGGTTTAGACAGCCAGCCTCTCTGATGTCAGTAGACTCTTATCAGCTGAGATGGACGTGTCCTCTGGTTGGATGATCATGATGAGGGTTAATTTGTGTTACTCACAAAGTCTCAGGTTTGGCCCCCACCTGCTCCAGGTGGAAAGGAGAAGCCACTCTTTGTCCTGGAGAGTCATCCTGGGGTGGTCGGAGGAGTGGTCTCTTGTTGCAGAAGGAAGTTGAGCGCATCTAAGACAGGGAACGTATAAGAACTGCTTCACCCTCTTAATCAACCACGCTTTCTCCAGTTTGGCTGGGGTACTCAATCCAGCATCCCTAATCCTCGCCCAGCCACCAACATGCTGGCTGTGACTGATGGGAGTTGCCATCCGGCCTATCTGGGGAGCCCCTAGGTTGGGAAAGCCTGACCTTGTAGTTGCTGCTAGTGGTGTTTGAAATTCCACTTCCCTGCCTGGTTCCTCTTAAAATGACATTTCAGAATCCTCTGCAACATCTGGAGGGCAGAATGAATGAGACAAGATTTCTTTTTCTTGCTTTTTCTTTTCAAACTCACGCAAGGGCTATAAAGGGGAAGAGCAATAACTTTTAGGGGGAAAAAAGGGAGGGGAGGGGAAGCAAAAAAGGCTGCCTTTTTTCTGCTTTATTATTATTTTTTTTATAGAGTTGGGAGGTCATTGTCTTGCTGGGGCCTTGCAAGCCTCTTCTCTTCAAGGCTGCCTCCTGACCTTGACCCCCTTGTGTGGGTCTGGAGGCAGCCTTGAAATCACCTGATCCCTCTAATTGGTAGTAAATAGGCAGCTGATAAGGTTTCTTGGAGCTGTCACTTTCTCCAGGCTGAGGGAGTTGTGGCTGGGTTCTTCCCTCCCCCCCCCCATTATTTAAGGTGGCTCCATAGTATTATTTAAGGTAGGCTGTAGAAAGATTGCTCTGTTTGGTCTGTGGTGGCAAAAATTCATGAAAGCTTCTGCCTTTTAATACAATTTGTTAGTCGGAAAAGGTGCTGCCAGATGTCTGATTTTAAGGTAGAATGGGAATTCTTGTCCTTGGCTCCTTGGCAGAATGTTCTCTTCTGAATTCCTCTGCGCATTTTGAAAATAATAATAAGAATATCATCCAATAGATGGATAAAAATGCCAAATCCAGTCTAAATATCTGGCTGACTGTGTGACCAACAATAATCATTTACTGATTAGCCATGAAGCCATGTCAGAATACAAAATATAAAATACGGAACAGTCATAAGAATATATGTTAGAAAATACCTGTAGAGTAAAAGACATAAGTAAAAGAAAAAGCAAATCATATTTCTGAGTCACCCCTACAATTTTCCCATTCAGATGAATCCCAAGTAATATTCTTGGAAAACTGTATGGTCTGCTAAAAGATAAAGTGGTTTGTTTGATTTAATGTATTGTACAAGTCCAGCTGTTGTGGTTTGGAAACCAAAGTTTATGGCTTAGGAGGTTGGGCACACTCGGCCAATGTTGGCTTACACTATAGTTAAGCAAACTATGGTTAAATGCAGTATGTTTAGCAAATCTGTTCAGGTGTTCTCCAGTTTCTCCAACCTGATGCCTGCCACGTGTGCTGGACTACCCCTCCCATCACTTCAGGCAAATGAGTGGGGATGATGGGACTGTAGTTTGATGCATTTAGAGGGTGCCAGTTGAAGAAAGCTAGTGTGCGCCACGAGAAGAAGGATTCTCTCCAGTCTCTTTTTAACTCTTTTTAAAAGACTGTTTTTAAACTCTCTGGCTCTTTACTTGAGCGTAAAAATTTGCACTGCTGGGATCCTGGTCAGCTATTCCTGCGAGCTTTCCCCTGATGTCTTTGCACTAACGATGCCATGATGCTCTGTGATATGTTCTTTTGCAATAACCGTTCCAAAGTAGTTTTGCTTTTAACCTCAAAGCAGAATCCATCAACTGCCCCTTCTTTTAAATACTGTACAGAGGTACATTTGCTCTATCCCCTCACTGACTCCTGGGCATGGATGTCCACAGAGGACAGGCACGGGCAGGGGGTGGAGAAATGATTAAATGCGTGTCACAATGGCACAGCGCAAACCATGTGATTGACGTACATGTGTGCAATGACAAGATGCGAGTACGGGAGGCTAGGGCTTGCATCGTGATGCGCGTGTCATCCTTTTCATGTCACTGCAGTTTGTAGCAGGTGCCTGTGCTTTTGTGGTACTGTACCAGTTTATTTTTTTCCACCTTTGTTTCTTTTTGAGTCCTGCCAGCCAGCCAGGGATCCCCAAGTAGCTAACTGACATCACAGTGATGCACAGAGACTTTTGAAACTGGCAGCAGCGATGAAAGGAGCGAGCGGCACATAAAGGTCCTAAATGAATACATTTAGAAACAAGAAAAGCCCAGTTTAGTCTATATGGTTTTCTTGGAATGGTTACTACTGCCTTCTCCTGCACAGGGTGAAATGGTGCTTTTGCCACGATCCTATGTGGTCGCTAAGAATCAACCCTGCCTTGATGGCATGCTATCAGTCAAATGTAGTCCAGCCTTCACACTGGACGCCCTCCAGATACCAGAAACTTCCCCACAGTGGCCAAGCTTCTGCAAAACTCTGCTCTGTATTTCGAAGCTCAAAAAAGATGGCTTTTTGCGGTTCCCCCAATGGCTGACATTGAGTCATTGCTGAGTCTGACCTTGGAGATAAGGCATAACCATTATGACTAGTAGGCTCTGAAGCCTAATCTTCCATGAATCTAACTCATGCCTTTTTAAAGCCAGCTAAATTGATGGACATGTGCTGATTCCACGAAAAGTAAATTAAGCCCATTTAGAGTGAGGGTAATATTGACGGGGGGGGGGGCAGGATAACACAGCCACCCTAGCTAATCAGGAATTAACCAAACAATCGGATGAAACTTCCTAAAAATTAGGTTTGAAGCTGCTGAAGATTTTCAGCTGAGCATCCTGCCGTGCACAGACAGCCAAGTCTGCCTACAGACCTAAGCCTGCCCCGGGTTTAATTGTACCCA